CCACTGCTGACAGCAACACAAGGATGTGTTCAAGCTACATCTTTTGGTTAAGCTACCAGCACCATTTTTAAATCGAGTTTCACAACAAATCGTGTTTGCACCATACAGGAAATAATTGAGACATGCTGATATGCATTAAACAATGTTCAGAAATCATGATCAACAACAATACTGTACGCATTATGATTACACCAGTACAGAAGTCGGGCTTCCGGTCTGACGTTCTGCAGTTTTTTCGTTGCCATTTCACCCATTCGAAGTTCGCTCATTCGCTGGATAGGCTGCACTGTTGATGTATTTCACTCCATCACAGCTGGCTCAACATTTTTGATCACAAGTTCATTTAACGGAGCGCACCATTCATACCCAATATGCTCGCCCCTTGTGGCATCACAGAAGTCCAACATTTCAGCCCGACATTGGGCCTGACGTTCTGCGTTTTTTCGTTCCTGCTTCATCCATTCAAGGCCCGCTCACTCAGTGGCTATGTTGCTTTGTTGATGTCGTTGCTCATCACGGTCTTTGATTACTGTGTCCGCTGCCACTGTCGCTGCGCCCAGGGCCGCGCAGCACCGTCACGAGAGTTGGCGCCTGCTGTGCAACCTGGGAGAGCCCTTGAGGGGAACCCGCCTCAACCCGGACGTTTGATTCGCAAGACATCGCCACAGCCGCATTGCCCTCAATCGACCCAAAAGCGCATCCGACACTCAAGGCCCGTGATTGCCACACACCGCGCGCTGTTGATTGCGACAGTGAACGTCCATGCCCCACCCCGTTCTCGCGCTCAAGCCCAATCCCCAACCCGTGTGGGAGCCGCACCCCCGCTCTCCGCTTTCCAAAGCTTCACTCCAAGGACCGGGGGGCCCAAACGCTGGCCTTAAGGGCTGCGCTGATTGTATACGGTGGAGCGGTCGCCGTGCTGATGGTTGCCCCACAGCAGAGCGCTGCAAGCTTTGGAGTCGCTCCACGGCCCGACTGGAGCCCTCGCGGGGACGGTAACGCCGAGCCCCGCGTTTGGGCGCAGGCCATCGCCGTTGTGACGATCAACCATGTCACATGGGTCGATTCTCACATGAGAATGCTGACTCGGACTCTAAAAATTTCATTTCCGGTCATTTTCAGAGCGCTTCTAGTCGTGTTCTGAGCTTATATGTTGTACCAGATACCAATTTTGGCATCCCTTGGCACTGAGTGTAGCTGCGTCAGAGATCAATTTTTGGCAACGACCGGACAGGATTTGTTTGAAGGAGTCAATGATATGCCAGTGATGGTGTTTGCAGAATGGGCCCCTAAGCATTGATCACGGGTTCTGTCATCCCTACAATAATTAGAAAATTAAATCATTAAATAGATCTCAGAGGCTCAAGTCGATTTCCCCCTGGAAGCTTCAGCCGGCTTTTTTCGCTCACCCCATTCGTGTCACTCTGCAGGAGCTTTCGGGATGCCGAAAACGGGAGTTCCTTGTTCACATGAAGGACACCTGGAACAAACAGGACGCTGACCTGTCAGAACCCTCGAGATCGCGACTGCACTTCAGGGCGCACAAGTGGAAGAACCATACACCGTAGCAAGTCTCAGACGCGTTCACAGCCGCGGCGGCCAATCTGTGCAACATCCTGAGGTTGCGTTGCTCCGCAACGGCTGCAACACTTGCATCGCAGCCTGTGGCGATGCCACAAGCACGCAACTGTACAGTTGCGTGCTGCCAGAATGTGTGGTTGTTAAAGTTGCCAGAAATTTCTGGCCAGCTACTGGAGCTGGATGTTTCTGCTTCGATATGCACGTATTGATAGTGGACTTTACGGAGCACATCATGTGCTGGCCACAGGGGAAGCAAAAAAACGCCTTTGCACACAACTTATCCACGGTGGTGGGGCTCCAAGAAAGTCAAAAGCCGTGCGTGACGTTGGGTTTCTAATTGCACAGTGCAATACGGCATCTGGTCTCCAGTTCCAGGTAAGGCGCATCTTCCCAGCGGAGAATTCCCAGGCATGGGACCCCCGGGACGTGTGCACACGTCGACCCTTGCGCTGAACCAACACCACGCAAAGACACAATCCACCCGCCCGTAGATCGTCGCAAGCCGCCCGCAGATCGTCGCAAGATGTGCCTTTTTTCGAGTCGTCGATTTTATGTGTACTAACCGGGGTCGGCTGTCGGTTTTCTTTTCGGGCACCGTCGGGGTACGTTTGAGCGTTTTCTGTCGGACGAATTGTCCGACTCGGGCTCGGCTTTGACGCCCCGAGTCGGTCATTTGAAATCCAGCTCGGACAAAAAGTGGCAAAACACGCCGGCTGAGATGCCGCCAGCACGACGCATTCTGCAGCGAGACTGCTCCCGCCCCGCCCCTAGCGGCGAAGAGTCAAGGGGCGTTGGGACCCAGCCACGCCCGCAGATGGGCAGCCCTTCGGGCCGCACAAAAGCGGCACGGGTCGCCCCTTCTCGCGGGCCCGGAAGGCAGAAGGCACCGCATCGCCGCGCGGGCGCCATCCAACACCCACCCCATCCCCAACCGGTGATCGGGATTGCAACGCTAATGCCGTGCCAAGCCATAGGTCGCCCCGCATTCCGTTCCCCTTCCCCCGCTGGCACCCTTGCAGCCTGGTAACGAGCCCGCGTTCGCGACTGCACCCCTTCCCCAGCTTTCTCTCAAGCCCATTCTTCATACGAGCGTCTTTTCCGAGTCGGCGGCAGCGGCGAAGGTGCCCACGCCAGACCTCTGCCGCCTTTCCCTACAGTCCCTGCAGCGTGAGCTGGAAGGAAAGGGGTGGGGGTGGGGGTGGGGGTAGGGTGGGGGTTGGGGTGGGGGGGGCGGGGGTGCATCCACGGCCCGTACCTGTAAGCGATGGGGCAATGCTTCCGAAACGATTCCTGGCCGCGAGCACCCCAGAATCGAATTCGGGACCGGCGGCAGCTTGCGGAGCGAGGAGCGCGATCAGCAGGACGGCCGCGACGGGGAGCAGGGCTGCGGGGCCACCCCGTCGGCTGCGGGGCGCTGCCGCCATACGGACGGGGGAAGGCATGATGTGCGCGTGGGTCATGTGGGGCGGGCGGATTCGCTGCTGTCTGGCCGACTGGCGGTTCCTGAGGCATTCATGCTCGTCGCCAGCCCCATGTGGATGAAGGGCGTGGGGCCACGCACGCATTACGGTTCCGGGGGGTCGAAGCTTCCGGACGCGGTTCCCCGCCAATGGGGATGCCGATCTCCGGGTCGAGATCAATGCACGGGAGATACGTGTCTGAAAACACGAATAAATCCGGTTGGTGCCTGGGTTTGATGTCAGGCGACCCGATCGAATCGCCGGCGGGGTTCGTCAATGGGACAACGCCGGGCCCGCAAGCCCTTACTGGCAGCAATTCGGACGCATCGGAATGGACGATTTGCCACGTCGGGACTCGAGTTCCCGGCAGCTGTGAACGGAACAACTGCATGGCGCGTGCCAGTTGGCAACACGTTGTCTGCAAAGGTGAGTCGTCTGCTCGCTGCTGTGCAAATCCATCGATTAGTCGTCAATGTTCATGATGTTCATGGCCAGGCTTGGTTTTTACGTTTACGTTTACGTTTTTACTTTTACGTTTTTACACGTAAAAACGTAAATTTGCAAAAGGGACTATTTTTACGGCTATTTTTACGTTTTTACGGCTCTCTTGGACGCCCAGATTACGTGATGAAAGTTGCGTACAATGATCAGTCCTCCGCCATATCCAGCACCCGCAACACAGTGTCCACCTCGCCCTTGGCAAGGGCGATGATGGTGTTTAACAAAAACTCGTTTTCTGACCCTTCCAGGGCGTCTGACTGCCACTCTCCGGACTCCGTAAGTCTGTATGTACTGTCCTTATGTACACCGGGCAGTTTTTACGTTGTATTTACGTATTTTTACGCATTTTTACGCGTAAAAACGTAAAAACTGTTTTTACGCGTAAAAACGTAAATACGATCAGTTTTTACGGCGTAAAAACCAAGCCTGTTCATGGCGAAACTCAAGAGGGTGAGTAATGTAAGACAGGCAACCCTTCAGCATGAGATGCGACGGTTGACGCTGCGATGATCGACATGTGGTCACGATGCATCTTGCAATGGGCAGTGATGTAGGAAAGTGGATGTAAAGCGATGCCGTCCGCCGCGCTGTGGAGGTCCCGAATTGGGCATCTTCTCTGCAGTTACATTTGTCCTAAATACATTTTCCATCCCCAGGGGTCGGAGATCCAGAGATGGTTGGAAATATCGACACACCAAATTTCGGCCCTGCAAGAACCAACGGGAGAAACGATCTGGCAACGGGTCTGTGGAGTTGCGCTCGGAAGGCGAGGACCTTCTGCCTGAGCGCGAAGCGCATTGCGATCCAGCGTTTGAACACTGCGTTCCACGATCCGCATCGCATGGATGCGCACCAGGAAGCGTCATGCACTTGTCCCAAACCGTGAAAGAGCACCTTGGAGTCTCACACATACAGGTATTACAGTCCACATTCGTTTCCGACACAAGCATGCATCCTCCAGAAGACATTGCACGCCCTTAGGCCGACTAGTTGGAAACGAACGCGCTACACATGGCGACGGGACGCCACGATAGTACCAAACGCTCAAGCACGCGCAGCGAAGCCGCAACGGCTCCTCAAAACTGGCACAACACATTATATCCTGCATGGCGGTCCACCAGCCCTGCCTTCCGCAATATTAGTTCCGAGATACTTTCCCGTCGGCGCTTATAATTTCCCTCACTCTCGAGTCCCAAACAACGAAATCTGACGTTTGGTCGGCACCCCATGAATGTGAGACTCCCTTCTAGATGTCGGAGATGAAGCCCCCCACCCTTGCGCCGCCCTCTCCCACCCCAATCAAATCGCCCCGTCAAAGGCAATTCAAACAAAGATTATCAACTGTTGATGCAACCTGAGGTGCAACCTGAGTGCAGTCCCGGGGCTGTCGGCACAACCTGGGGCACCCCCTGCTGATCCAACCCAGGTTGTTACGACCTGCCCCGAATTCGACCGCCTCTATCCCGACAGCGCCCTGCACTCCAGGATCTGCAGGACAGTGGGCAGCGAGTGGCAGTCCTCCGTCACCACGGCGCCGTCCGCCGTTGTCGGTGGGGCCGGCCCAGGGGGCCCGTTCCCGCGGCCCAGCAGCTCCTGTATGGCCGCGACCTGCTGAGCCGTCTCGCAGGCCCCTTGGGCGCACTGCCGCAGGTCTGCATCCCCGATGGCCTTGACGCAGCCGCACACCTCGTCGCCGGCGCCGACAGCCGGGTCCGCCCCGGCCGCGAGCAGAAACCGCACGCCGTCCTCGTTGCCGTAATACGCCGCGTGATCGAGAGCAGTGGACCCAGCAAAGTTTTGGGTGTTGATGTCCAGCCCCTGCGGCGGACGCGGAGTGCAAACAAGCATATACAGATGAGAGGCGGAAAATATGTGAGGAAGGCTGAGGAGAACTCAGGCAATCCCAGGAAGTCACCCGGAATCTGTGAAAACCCCCATGAATCTCCCAAACTCTGTGGATATCTGCGAATGTCCCCAAATCTGCGAATATCCCCAAATCTCCCCAAGTCTGGGAAGATCTGGCAAAATCTCCGAACATCTACAAAATCTCCAAAATCGTGAGGGTCTTGGAAAATTTGTGAAAAACTGCGAAAACCTGCAAAAATGTGAAATATGCGAAAATGTGAGAAAATCTGAGGAAATTTGTCGATCACGCATTCCCTGGAATGGTTTTCCGCCGAGGCGCATCGCCAAATGCAGTTGACTTGAATTCAATCCACCACAAAAGCTTCCGCACACAGCACTGTTCACAACATTATGTGGACGAATGCACCATGCAGCCATGTGGCAACCGATGTGGCACGCCAAGATACTTAAAGCAAAATGGAACACATCCTTGCAGCAATCGCTTCGCCGTTAGCTGCCAATTGATTGAGGATGGTGCTCTGGGGAATAGCGGCCTTTGTTGAGGTCACCTGCTCGAAGACGATGAGTTGTCACTGATACATTTTGACCACCGACAGTGTGGGCAGTCTACGTGTTTCATGCCTGCATATACGTTGGATAACTGTTAGGATTCAAATGATGGGCTCGTATGCATGTGACTTAGGTGAATGCAGCCTAGCAATGTGTTGTTGTTTTGTTTTTTGAGCTGCGTGGCCATCGGTATACATTGCTGGAAGCCTGTACTGGAAACTCATTTCAGATTTTTGAAACAATGCACGAGCTCGTGCACACACACTCGAGTGTGGACATTGGACCATGAGCAGGCGATTCGGAACAAACACTCTGCTTGATTTGCAAGCCCATCATCGCCTATCAGGTGCGCAGGCTGTGCGTTGTCATTGTCTGCCAAATGTTATCGACGGATTTTGACGATGTTACATGGGTGGCCAGAAAATGCCGCCCATCGTTCAGAACGGAGCAACCAAAACTGATGGCCACTGGCGCTCCATGGGCGCCGGCCACCTACCGCGTCCAGAAGCATCTGCATGATTTCCTCTGTTTCCACAGCTGCCGCCGCAAAGTGAAGGGCCGTGAGACCGAAGTCGCTGTCAATGGTGGGGTCGGCGTCGTTGTCCAGCAGCGCCTTCACCACGTCGGTGTGGACAGCCACCGCGGCCAAAATCAGAGGAGTGACCCCATGGACGAAGTTTCGAGCATTCACATCGGCCCCAGCACCTATCAGCACCTCAACCACGTTGGTGTGCCCCTCTTGTGCTGCCAAGTGCAAAGCCGTGAAACCGGCATCGTTTCTCGCAGTCACATTCGCCCCCGCCTCCAAGACAACATTGACGACTGCAATGTGGCCAAATAAGGAAGCCAAATGCAGTGGGGTGTCTCCTCCGGCACCCTTGGCATCCACGTCTGCACCAGCTTCCAGCAGAGCAGTCGCAATTTCCTCTAGCCCCCTCGTTGCAGCAAAGTGCAAGGGGGTGTCGCCGTCGGGGTCGATCTCGTCCGGGTCTGTTCCGTTGGCCAGCAGCGCATTCACGGCGTCCAGGTCTCCTGAAACCACTGCGTCTTGGATCGCCTACCATTCCAAGACGGAGAGAATGCTGTTGAGGACTGATCCAACACCAGCAGAGAATGATGTAACTGTGATCCTAACCGCTATGGCATGTGACGCTAATTGATACCGTCACAGCTACTTTATCCCATCACCATCGTCAGGATGGCGCCATGTTGTGTCAATATGGCATCACGGTGTGCATCGCAACAATGTTGGTTTCTGTGAGTGCAAGTCATTAGTGCGCAATGCGGAGAACATCTGAGAGTCATGATATTGCGGTTTGGAAAGCATGTGCCACGCCCACAAGTAAAAAGTTGGCAAAAAGACAAGGTTTCGAACCGTGTTAAGATTGCGTAAAACGCATCGAAAGGTGCAAAAACCACGTACACTCATTCAATCGTTGCTGCATATTTTATATTATTTGTCACGATTTTTACACAACCCGCAATCGTGTTATACGCTGTGCGATGTCCAAAACCGTATATTTTGGCCTGTTTCTTGCGACTGGCCATCGGGCCTCACATTAGGGATCACGAAATTCAGAGGGATTTCCCATAAGACTTCGCATCTCATAAAATTCTCTCATTGCATGAAAGCACGTGCTTTGCATCCTCGCAAAAGTGCTCAAGTATCATCGGTTTGATCTCACCGGCTCGACTACCGCAAATTGGCCTTCTGAGATCCACATACACTGGTAGGAAAAACTGGCCCGAGCTGCTCGAGGCCCATGCAGTAACCTAGTATATGTCTGCACGTGCGCGATTCTCTTGTGTAGTCAACGTGGGCTGTTGAAAGAAAAACTCCTCAAAGCTATGCGCTGGTCAGAATTGAAGCCGTCACCATCGGAACATTAAAGCAGGCCTTGTGACCAGTGCAACTGGAGTACATGCATTTGCAGATTGTCCTTCAACCAGTGCTGAGCGCTGGTGGGCACGGTTGCTGGGACAGAAGGAATCCATGGACTCCAAACGACGAAAGGCGACTACCGCTGGTTTCGTGCCTGTCCAGCCGAAAATATGCTCCTGAGTTCGTCGATTTCATCCTGCAAGTCGCAATTTCCAGCTGGGCACGGAGGCGCATCGGAGAACGGCTCCACATCTAGGCAGCCGCATACTGGCAAGCCGTTCAGCGAAATGTCTGCTCCCTGTATGCCAAAATAGCCAATTTGTAATGACCTCAATCCTCGTTCAGCCGCCGCTGACTGTGTCATAGTAAGCAGCGGACGTCTGCGTTCATTCGCAGTTGTAAAAACATCAATCAACAAACAGCCGATACAGTCAGTATATCAAATGTTAATTGACATATCTTTTGTGACATCAAGATCTGCAACTGCTGATACCGTTTCCTTAATCCAATTCCTTTAGTGGTTGATGATGCTGAAAGAATAATCATAACCAAATCAGGCACCATGTGGATATCCAGACATGTTGCCCTTAGAAAATATTGCAAAGATGACAGAAGGGGCCCCTCTGTGAGATATCAAGACAAAAGAGGTTCCTCTGTGACAAAAGGGGTTCCTCTGTGACAAAGGGGATCCTCTGCGGAGGTGAAAATGACGAAAGGGTGCCCATGCTCTGATTGCCCATGTACATTGGAAGCGTCGCAAGACCGGGCGCCAGACTGGCTCCGGTCCACAACACGGTCCTACTAGAGGCGACCCCGCAAAGGAGCCCCTTTTTCATTTGCGCCCATTCAGCGAGCCCTCATTTGTCACTTTCCTTGTTGAGGGTGTTGGCGTGTTGCGGGGTGTTCGTGATACCATTTTGAGGACCATACCTGCCCTTGGTGTATCATTTAATGAGAACGTGCGATTGGTATCCATAAAAGAATATGAATCATTACGAGAAATGACCAGATTGAGTTGCCACTTTAATAGCCATCAAGGCGACTTTGGCTGCAAACTGCCAAGAGTTGGAGCGTGATCTCCAAAGCTTCATTTTACCAATCGTTAGCTTCTCCTGACATGCAGTTGATTCTGGGCATTCCGAAAACATGCATACTTTGGGCGCTCAAAGTTCCCAGCTTATAATATGAAAACTCACAGAGGACCCCCTTTTGTCATTCTCCCAATATTGTGCTTTGTGCAGTTGCGCTGATTTCCCAGAAAGCACATTGTGCAACACTTCTGCATATTTCACACACGGTAGTACATACTTTACGATCTTAAAACAACCTCCAATTTACTCTCTGGAACACTAGGCCTGCACACTCGCCACGAGTCTAGGGGCAGCACCCACGTATTCACTGCACTTTAGTACGACGCAATGCTTTAGAATCGAAACAGATCACCGACAACAGTCCACCAGACATTGGTCTTTCATTTTCACCTGCTTCACGAGAAACAGCACGTTGATGAGGTTTCCAAAATATGCAGCTTCGTTCAGGGCGGTGGTTCCTAATTGATTCTTGACGTCAATGCCAGCCCCGGCCTCAAGAACAATTTTGAGGATGACGACGTTGTTGGGAACCATGGCGCCATGGTGCAGGGGAGTCCCGTACGTGGACTGCCGAGTCATGTTTGCCCCCTCGGCAATGAGCAGGCGCAGCGCCGCCGCGTTGCTGTCCTCTGCAGCAAACATCGCCGGCGTGCGGTCAGCGAGCTGCACGGCGTCGATGTCCGCCCCCGCGTCTATGAGGGCCTGCACATGATAGAACACTATGTTTATTGTTTTTTTGTTGAATTGAACATTATGTCAATCAGCCTTTCAGGAAAAATGGTACCGTACAGTACTCTAATGTACTGAGTTTTATGCAACAATTTCCTAGAGTAGTGTTTACAGAAGCTGTTGGAAAGACTTTTTCCGACGACAGTTAGTCAGTGCCGCACTGTAAAGAGCGCAAACCACGAGCAACGCCGCTCAGAAAAGCGTGAAACCGGCAGGACCTGGCACCGACAGTCTACAAAATTTCCATTCCCGTCTGTACTGTACAGTACTGGGATAGGCTTCTGGGATAGATTCTATAGCAAAAATAGTACCAACAACTCTTTTTGCGAACGCATATATATGCATTTCATCAGTGCATCCGGGAATCTGGTAGGCGTTGGTACAACATTGACAGGCTATTGCGTCAACACCGCTCTACAGACACGAGCTCTGAAGGTTCGCGTTGATCCAAGGGCCTATCAATGGTGCATCATAGCCAGACAAATCTCTGGATGCATCTACGGGGTGATAAATGAATTGTTGATGCAGCATTGATCGAACACTGCTTGTTTGGGAATGTTGCATCAAGATGCCTTGTTGGAGTGTTGACAAACACAGGCGTCAAGAGCCATTGTTTCAGTGGCAGTTCACCAACGTTGAGGGATATTGTTTCAATATCCCCCTTGTATCAACCCTCATCAAACATTGCAACAGCGCCTGTCGAATTTCCAGACGTGCTCTGCATGCCTAAACCACGGAAACAACCCCAACCCACAAAATTCGTACGCGTTTAAACACGCTCTATTTTGCCCTTTTTTCCTAATGATTGTGCAGCATAATCTATCCACAAATTGGCGCAACCAAAATGGGGTTCATCTTGTTGTCGACGTGTCGCCGCACCGCTCTCTTGCACCACTTACAGCATTCTGTTCCAATTCGCAACGAAGCGTTTCCGCATCGAGCGTTTCGGGATTCAGGGCTGCCATCTCACCGATTGGGCGCCCCAGGGCTGGGAATCTGCGCTACGCGCCACCATGGGAAACTCAGGGAAGCGCCGCAAGTGCCGGTGAACACCCACACACCACGCCAGCGAGTGCATTACATGGCAGGGGTGCTCTTGTATTTCGATTCGTCTGCCATCCTGTTCTCGGTATCTCCCTTTTGATCTGCTAAAAAGGCGCCCATGTTTTCTTTTTTTCTTCGGGGGGGAGGGGCATTTATGCCCACCATTTGGGAACCCAGGCCACTCCCTTGGGCCTGGCTGGCTACACTGCCATTTGGCCGCACAGTAGCTTCCCCCCAGAGTGATATGAATTTGGCGCACAGGGCTGCCTTTCATCTTTCGAGTCAGCGTTCCTCCTTTCCAGCGGTCCCCGCTGGGTGCGCCGAAAAGATGGCCATGGGTTTTTGATGACCTACCCAGGGACTCGAATGAAGGCTTTCGTCCAGGGTGTTTACAATGCGGCAAGGCGGCACAGGTGCTCTCCGATGCGGCGGAACGAAAGAAGCGACTTCTGGATTACAGTACACAGGGCCGCCTTTCCTATTCTATATTTCTTGGTCCTATTCTGCACTTATTTTCTACAGTAGGGAGAGCTGCAAGTGCCTGTCGGAGGCGCTGGACCCGCGACTGGGCTCTCCCCACTTCCTTCCCAGAAGCCAAACAACAAATTCTGCAAATATGGTACAGCTCCCTGGCCGGCGACGATCGACCATTTTCCCTTATGCACAAGTTGCCCGTATTTAGGGTCTTTGCACGCCTTTACGCGCAGAAACGTAAATGCTATTTTTGGGCGTGATTGCACATAAATGAGCTGTGTTTGCTCCCACAAGAAACAAGCCTGCTTTCTGCCGGTGGATGGCGACCACTCGCCTGCAAGACCTCCACCGACCCACCCACAGCGGCGTAGTGCATCGCGGTGTTGCCGTCGATGTCGGCGAGGGACACGTCCGCGCCCCTTTCCAACAGCAGGTTGACGACGAGGTCGAACAAGTTGATGCTCGCCATCATGAGAGGGGTCACCCGCGAAGGGCCCCTATTGTCAATCGTTGCGTTTGCATCCAACAACGCCGTCGTTATTGCTATGTTGCCGTCCGTGCAGCTCGTGAGGAGGGCCGTGGTACTGTCATCGTTGGGAATCTCTGTGTCTGCACCTTCCTGCGCACAAACCGCGTTGTTCGTTTTGAGGGGATCAACTGACGTTAGATCAACCATCAAGTTCTGATGGAATCTCGTTTGCGAAAATTCCGAGGGAAAAATTAGAGGTTCGCGCCCGGGAGAGCAGATTTTCGAGAAACGCTTAGGCTAGAATACAGTAGCTCTCATCAATTCAGGATGCAGTGAAATCGTGCAAGGACGGATGCACCAACGATTATGGAATTTTTCAGTCCAAATCCTAAATTTAGTCAGTTGAGTAGCTACAAGGATAGCAACGCATTCAATATTGACCAGCTGTTACTTCCTCTGTCCGTAATTAAATGCCACACTTTGTTCGAGAGGCCAAACTCGCATCATATACTTACCTGTTCCTTACAAAATTCGATTGCATTTAGCGAACTCACATGTGATGAGCTGGTCGAAATTTCAAGTAAAAATATTAGGTAGTGCGCAAATGGCTGTACTTTGAATCCGCACAATGCGGGTGGAACGTCGGAGAATCTCAAGGTCGGAGCTGGGGACCGCCAGAAACGACCCCCGAAGGGGTTGGACCTGCCTTTGACGTTGCGCTACAAGAAATGGATATCTGCTGCCACCGTTGAAAGAGCAGGTCCCTGAGACGAGGCGAGACCATTTTGCCGGGTTTAAAACCACCCGATCGTCGATCCCCACCGTGAGTTTCACCATCCAAGCAGATGCACATCCGGAGATCGGAAATCCCCAAAATCGGGCGAGCTCGCGATCGAGCTTCCTTGCAGCGCACTCCGCCACCACGGGCGGGGTGTGAGAGGCTGGCAAAGCCACTGCAAGAATTTGGGAAGGAAGGGGTTCTTGTCCTTCTGCACAGGAGCAGAAGATCGCCAAAAGTGGTTGCCGCGTGCAATTCCTCCGCAGAGGGCTGCCGGATCTGTTCACAACGCTTTGAAAGACGCCACCGTCCGAAACTTCAGACGCTAACCACGAAGGATACTGAAAGTATAGCCGCGCAGACACTAAGGACCTCCAGCTGCCCGTCGAAAGGTTACACGGCCGAGATTGGTGGGGGTTCATGGCATTTTGAGATACATGTCTGTGCTCAGGGCATGCCAATTGCCTGCAAGCCGCGTCGGAATATGGAGCCTTTAGCGCACGCAGCGATACCAGGGTGGGTATCAGGATACCTGAGAACCTAGTAGAAGGGAAGGACCCTACACATGCCCGTGTGTCGCTGTAAACGATGGGTGGAAATCCAGGACATCGGCGATGGCGACAAACAGATCCCGGTGCTGTTTCTGCTGGCGCTCCACCGCGATGGTTGTCGACCACTGGTCTGGAGCCCCAGCTGCGTCAGCAGCTCTACTTCCGAGGCGTTGTGGCGTCCACAGGAAAGGCTACACTCGAGAGTGGGGGGTACCTGGACGCGGAACGCCACCGCCGGCCAGGCCAGTGCATCCTGCGATGGTTCAAATTACGGTCTGGAGGGGGACGTGTTTGACGCCCTGCCAAATTTTCTGTAATAACGCATTTCCTGAAAATAATTTGACAGCGTTTGAAGGGCTCGTAGGTTGTGTTTAACTTGGTTTTCAACATAAGATAACGACTTTTTACATGAATGCGGCCTCTCAATCAAAAGGTGACATCTATTTCCGGACAGAGGAAGTACATTGTAACAATTTGTTACAGTGAAATACTGCAGATCAGAAATTGGTGAACTCCAACTGCATTCCACTGCAGTGGGATTCCTTATCCGTATCCTTCTGAGAGATCAATCGTGCTGGGTTGTCATTGAACGCAGCATAGAGACCAATGATGCAATGGTAAGCAATACCCAGGACTGCATTGCTAACATGCAACCGTAGCATATGTTTCGCAGCTGCGGGAACTGTACAACATTTGGAAAACTGTATCCCAGATATGTAGAATGTCAACGAACGCCCTCGACTTTTGCCAAGCGGGAAATATCGACAGCGAGAGATTTGCACAAAAAGCACCAACATATATCACGAGAAACTTGTCCCAATTGAAGATGGCTTTCTCAGCACGGGGTAGCCGCAAACAGAATTTGAGGGTCAGTCGGCTCAAAACAAGTAATTACGGCAATCTGCAAAAGAAATTTTAGAATATTTTAAAAACCGATTCTTTGTAATTCCGCTTTGAAGGGCTTTGAGAACGGAATATACACGCATTTTTCATCATTAACCGTTTTTTTGGTTGTTTATTATCTATTTTAATTTCGCCTCAAGGCTTGCGAAATTTGGGATTCTTCGTTGTTTCATGTCACGGAGTGGTTTTGGTACACACTGTCTTTCTGCTCAAGCATACAACCAGAATATCTTACCTGCAGCAGAAAGCTCACCGCCGATACCTGTCCTTCAAATACGGCCACATGCAGCGCTGTGTATCCATTGTTCTCTTGCCAGTCAATAGCAGCCCCGGCTTCCAGGAGCACCCTGCTCAAGCAAGACAATGAGTTGCAGACGGCCAAAATGCGCAAGCATTTCTGAACATCCAGCGGCAGAAAAAAAAGGACCAAATAGCACTCTTTGCGAACACACATATGTGCAGTTCACCAGTGTTCTGCATGATAAAGACACGAAAATAGCACAAACCCGTAAACTTTGCACACATTTGAACATGCGTTATTTGGTACTTTTGTCCTTGTGCAGGCCATACACATGTTGATGCATGACACGCTTCAAAAGCAGTGGGAACACCACGCACCTCGGAGCGAGGTCCGACAGATTCCTCTAAGGCACTGCAATGGGAATGGCGATGTCGAATGCACACTAGGATGCGCATCTCGGCAATTAAACAACGAGTATTGGTATGGACAGTGGGATATGACTGTGTAAGCAAC